ATATTCAACAGAACTTAAAACTATGCAAGGCAGTGTTCTAGACTGCATTGAAGTTAGTGCTCAGAATGGTGAACAAGAAGGAAGAAAAGTTTATGGAGCTTATGTTTCAGTGGGAAAATGGCAATACACAAGCAGGTATTTCTGAAAAGTGCAACAGAAAATGGAAGATAGGAATATTGACAGAGAGCTGGGCATGGGGTAATGGTTATTGAGCAAGGTGGGGCAGGCCCTCTGAAAGCAAATCAGTTTTGAGCTGAGTGCAGAGGACGAGGCTGGCTTATGGTTGATGTCCAGGAGACCATAATCTTAAGCAGGAGTGGCAGTACTGAAAGCAGTAGAGGAAAGCAGAGATGCGGGGGAAGGTGTCAGGGAGTCAGTACACCGGGGAGGTGAGTGAGGATATCAGAGGCACAGGCTGGCTCAATTGTTAGAGGCCCTTGACAAATCCTGCTTTAACTGGCAGTCACTTGTGGGTTTTGTCATTCTTCTTGGGGCCCTGCTAAGTGAAGGGTTATGGCGATGGCTAAAATATCAGGCAGGTGGATGAGCTGGAGTAGGCAGATGGTGAGAAGACTGGAAGACAGGACTTAGTGAAAACTTGATGAGATTGGGCATGTTCAGGGTGATATGGCCGTAGACAGTGAAAACTTGAATGAATGGGGGTATGAACACAAGAAAGGTTGGCATCTGGGTTTCTAGCTTACGTAATTGGAGAGCCCAGAGGCCTGTGCACATGGAGATGTGTAGAGAAGTCAACAATTTTGTGTGCAGCTCTAACAGGTTAGGCTGCCATTAGCTATCCAAGTGCAGAGGTCAACAAACACTTGTTTTCATTCCCTTCCCAAATATTCACTTAACATCTACTATTAGCACTACTATCAGTGGTGCTTCCAGATCACTGGAATGCAGACCAAAACATTATTTCCTGAGGTGGGCAGACAATGATGATTTGGATCTGGTGTCAGAGGCAAGTTAGACTGCCAATATGATTTGGAGAGTCCTCAGTGTATTTAAAACTTGGTGAGCTCATTGAGGGATAGTGAAAAAACGAATTCATTGCAGGCCAACATTCAGTTTGGAAGAAGAGAATTTATGCTAGGAAGTGAGAAGGCAAGAAGAGGACATAGGAGGGGAGTGTTAAGTGTGGAGTGTGGCGATACTTTTTTTTCTTGGTTTGTTTTGGGCCACTCTGGCTGTGTCCAGTGCTTACTCCTGACTCAACTCAGGGATCATTCCTGGAGGGTTGAGGGGATATGTGGTGTCAGGAATAGAACTCAGGTTGATGCATGGAAGGTAAGTGCCCTGACTGCTGCACTATTGCTCCAGCCCCACATAAATGCTGAAAGGGAGGAAACAGGTATGAATGTCAACTGCTCATGAGGAGCCAATTAAGGTAATTAGGTACCGGCATTTGAATGAGATCTGTTCTGTGGAGTGGTGGCTTTAAGTTGTCTAATGTTTTAATTTCATCCCATCTCAACCCCTTTCACCCGCCCATCAAATCCTGCGCTATCTAGTGTGTTCCATCTGCCCCATCCATGTGTCCATCTGGGGGAAGAAGGCAGTCCTATTTTTCATCTTTCTTGCAATGTTATCTCATTCAGGTAAGTCCAAAGAACCAGGCAAACTATATATATATATATATATATATATATATACACACACACATATATATGAATATATATATTCATATTTGTGGAGATGTTACTGATGCCCGCTCAAGAAAATCGATGAACAATGGGAGAACAGTGCTACAGTACTATTTATTTATATTTTTGTGTGAAAGTGGTATGAAGAGGCAGTTCTGTGTACCTGAGATGCCTGTGACCAGGGCCTTTGGGTAAAGTTAACCAGGACACAGAGATCCTCTACAGCTAGGATGTCTTCAGAGGACACTAGCTCTGATATTTCTCTGGGTAGCCTGCCCGTCTGTGTACTTAGCAATGCCTGTCCTTCACAGCTCAGGAGAAATTACCAAGAATGTTAGACTCTAATTTTAATTTGTCTAGCACTCTTGTTAATGATATCTATTTAAGACATCCATTAAAGGCCCATGAGGTTAATTAAACGGACAATTCCAATATTGTTCTATTAGCTCCCCCTCTATTAAGTTAATATTATAGACATTTAACAGATGTCTTAATTAGGCATTATAGCTAAAAATGTAAACTAAATTAAAACTAAAGCCATCACTCAGAAAGCTTTTTACCATTATTTATGGCTTTGGGGTGGGGGTGAATGCTTGTGTTTCCCTTCAAAACCTGAGAAGTCATTTGACTATCTTTGTCCAGATTTCAGAAAATATACCAAGACCTCAATTTTAACAGTTCAGATGTCAGGGTTGAAGAGACTTTAGACACCATTGGGGAATTCTCAGTCTTCAGACATAAGCCATTGGTGGAACCAGCTGGGATCTTCGAGAAATACAAAGCTCTCAGGCTGAGGCCTTGGAGTGGGAATACAACTCAAGATATAGCTGTGCTCACCATGCATTCTGCTGTAGGAAGTTTCTGCTACAACTTCAGTAACCCTGACCAATTTTCACAGTTCCACTTGGCAGAACATGATGCTGAACTTCCTATAGATATCCACGGTGGAAGATGAGCAGACTCCTATAGCTTGTCCAAGAGAGCAGAGCTTTTCTAGCAGCTCCTGTTCGCTTCCCATCTGGGTTTGGGACTGACAAGCACAGCCCTCACTCCCTACCTCTCCAGCTATTGGTACTTAGCAGTGGTAGTGATTTTCTGGTCCTCTGTGATGACTCTGCAGGCCCCTGCTTCTCAGTGTGACCAGGTTCACTCCATAGCCACTTGGATTGAAGACACTTCTCCAGGGAATCTTCCCTACCACTTGGGTACCTACTTCCTCCTTCAACCAGATCATGCCTTTCCCGAACAGGAGGACAAGCTTAGTATATACAATAATGAAAGGGACTCTGGTGACCTTGGGGCTCCTCATAAGCTGGAGGAAGTAATTAAGCTTACGCTCCTGTCATAAACTCCAGTAGTAAGAGCAATTCAGGGATTCAGCAGCTGGGTTGCCTAAGCTGGAAATAGCTCAGGCAAAAGTGAAAGAGCCAGTCAATGTCCCATTAGGGACATGCTGGGTACGATCACTTTTCTGGAGGCCTCAAGCAGTCCATCCTAATTGGGATAGCTCCATGAGTAGGAAGGGCTGAATTGTGTCTCCCTCAAATACCTGCCATTTTAGGGTTTCCTAAACTCCAAAGTATTTGGAGATGTCTTTAAGGCGATTATGGTTTAATAGGGTAAAGGTGGGCCCTGACCCCATAGATGTGGTGTCCTGTTGAAAAGATATGAGGTAGATTTATCAGCATCTCACATGGACTGTCATACCCATGGTGCCAGCTCTTCTGAGGTCCTGATTCCTGGGTGGCAGGGACAGAAAGGATTAGATTCTAAAGTATCCTGCTGCCCAGTGACAAGCCAGGATTGTAACTGAGGACATGAGCAGTCCTGCCCAATTTCATGGATGTTAGGCCTTATTCTGTCACCTCCTAGCTGACCTTTCATGTTTCCCCTGACTGGAATACAGTGTACTCCTTGGGTCATAGGACCCAGGGGCCCCTGAATGGGCTGTGGGGCTAACAGGGCATCCTAGAAACAGGCATTGCAGCAGGTCCATGGCAAAAGCATTCACACTAAGTTTTCTGGGATAGGACTCTATAAATTAAGCAACTATTCACACAAAAAATTGAGTCTGTGCCAAATAAAAAACAGATTTCACATGGCAAGTGATACCAACAACTTTGCTGGAAAGCAACTGTACATTTACACATAGTTGGTCTTCTGCTTCGTATAAGGGTGGGCAAAGATAGCATGGTCGGATTTATAGCATCTGTGTGGTTACGAATGTGGTACTTGCAGATGGTTGGAAGAACAGCAGCTATTTCATGCTGAAAACAAGAGGGACCTCAGCTAATCAAGGGACACATTGTGCACTTCAGAACAGTGTCTTCTCATCTCTGTAGTAAAAAGCAGGGTACTGCAGTCAGATTCAGGTTCAAAAACTAGCTCCATCCCTCTTAGGTTGAGGCCTGGGACAAGTGAGCACAGGGAGCTTGAGTCTCCTCATGGCAAAATAAGGATGGTCATATCCTATGGCTGAGTTAGGGGCCAGGATGTCTAAAACAGTGCTAGGACTGAGTTTGGCACTATAAACAGGGAGAGATAGACTGAGGGAAGCAGCCAAACTGAAGGAGATTCTGATTAACAGATTAATTAATTATTAATTAATTAATTAACAGATTAACAGACCCCACAGGCAAATGTGATGATGTATGCTGAGTCTTTGGGAGGTGCAGTGGCAGAGCTAGGTATCTGCTCTCCAGTTGTAGAATCAGTGTGAGTCCTTCCCTTCTCCCCGCTGGCATTTTCTTTTAGGGTGGGATCTGAATGGGGAATACTGTGTTGCCAGCATGTTACTAGGAATACTCTGTTACTTGGCAACTACCTGTTCCAAGGAAAGGGGAAATGGGTCATCCGGATACATCCGAATATCAGATCCTGGAGGCTGGTCAGGGGCAGATCAAAAAGAGAAGCTTCTCAGCAGCAAAAGTAGATCCAAGGTGCCACCTAAGTCTACTGTTAGAGACTTTGCTTTCTTAGTGGGCAAGACCTTGGAAGAATACCAGTCTTCCTCGGGAGCCTGACTCCCTCAAGAGCAAGAGTAAAGAGAGGCCAGCTCTCTGCATGGGTCATCCCAGTTCCAGGGCTTGGGTGAAAGAGCCCGGCATGCCACAGCTACATTACCTTTCACTCTTCTTCAGCCTTCTTGAAACAGAAGGCCAACCTTAGCTGGGTTACAGAGTTCATTTGAATTAAAGTTCAACTGATTAAAGTCCTGAGTCAGATGCACTGTGGCCCAGGTACATGCTGTAACGCCACTACCAGTTGACTGCAGAGAACAGCAGCACAGTTAGGGCCCTTCTTCCCCACCACCCAGCTGCTGTATGGCAAAAACTTTCCTTTTTGTGGAGCTATTTGAGCCTACATGTTTATTTTATGTTATAAACAACTGACTCATCATTGAACATTCAGAAAACAGAGAAAAGTGTCAAAGAGAAAAAAAAAATTAAAACCCACTGGTACTAAAACCTAATCTCAGTGAGCCAGTTTGCTAATGCTGGCATTTTCCTCCCATGTGGGAACACACATGCGGGTCAGCTGATGCACACCTCCTTTTCCCGCTGGCTTCTTTGGTCTCTTCCAGATGATGAAGTGTTCTGAACTCTGACTACAACTGGCCAGAGGTGTTCTGTATCCTGAACTGGCTTCCTTAGCTCTTCTCTGGAAGTTCAGTATTTAGGGAATTTCCAGTTCAGGAGGTTACCAGCACATGTCCTAGGCAGCAAAAGTTCACAGGTCTATCGTTCCCTTTGCTTTGAACTTCTTTGCAGATCGTTCACTTGACCGAAGCTGGAATTTGCTCCCATAAATATAGGAAAGAAAGCCATCTATTTCCACAGTGAACACACAGTTCTGCTTGGGGATAACTGGAAAAAAAAAAAAGAAGAAAATCCTGGCACTAAGGTCACTTTTATGCAGATTATATCTAAAATAATCGTACTGAAAAAGCTGATAGGAAATGGGGGACAGTAACAGACCAGGAGTTATGAGAATTGTTCTGTCAAAGCCAATTTTTCACATTAAAATATAACAACTATTTGCAGAATGAGAACAAACTGAACAAATTGTGAGAAACAAGTTCCCCCACATAACTTTGAACTAAGCTCTTGGTTTAACGGTCAGTGAGGAATTTGTTCACCACATTCTGAGGCATAAAATGAGAGCAGAAGGATGAACTGGGGAAGATAGAGGAGGGGGAATGGAAGAAAGCAGTAAGAAAAACCAAATTTTAAGTTTAAGAAATAAAACCTCCAACTGTCGTTTTGAGATCTATAAATTTTTGGCAAGATGGCTCTGAAGGACCATGGAGATGGCCCAAGTGACTGTCATGTGCAAGGCCCTGTGTCTGATCCCCAACATGACTAGCCTCCTAAGCACCACCGCTGGGCATGGGACTGATGATCATCAGCACCACCCAGGACGGACATGAAGTACTACTGAATATGGCCCATACATATACATCTATCTATATATAGATGGCTGTGGGAATCCTGGAGCTAGCACTCACTTCCTTGTAACCTGATTGTCACTATCAAGGGCAGTTCTTAGAATTGCAGCGACAGTTACTACCTTAGCCTCCTGCTGCTCCATACACCACCAAGTTGTGTTTGTTAAGTGGAAGGCCCCAATCCTGGAAACAGACCCCAATGGCTGTAGGCATAGCCCAGAAGCACGCCAATGTGGTTGGGCTCACATGAGCCTTGGAAGAGGAATTGGGATGGTCCCTACTGGAGTATAGTGTCAGCAGGGAAAACTGAGCCCCTCAGAACCATGAAGAAGCCAAGAAGCACGAAGCCCAAAGTCAGGGACAGTTACGTACCTTTCAGGTGGTCTTCTTTGGTGATAATTTTGAAAACATGCTTTGTTTCCTGTAGAAGGATTCCTGTAACACCCACATAGGAAGGGCATTTGGATTTTGCAACTGGAAAGATAAAGGGAGTTCACGGTTTAGTCTTTTGTGGTGCTGGGGCCTGGGGGGCACAGGGGTTCTGGTCCCACGCTTAAGCCAGCAGATGAAGAAGAGTACTCAAGGAAAAGAACTAGGTAGAGGCCCTTCATTAATGAGCACCACACTGGGCAAGAATCCAGGCTTCTTCATCCCTTGCCTGTGGTTCTGCAGCCTCTGTGCTACTCTCACAAGTTGTCTGCTGCAGGGCCTGCACACACAGGGGATTCTGGTGTCAAGAGGTCACATATATGCCCAACACCACTAAGGCCCAATCTGGTATCAGACATTATGCATGGCTTACTTGTAGAATCTGAATGAACACCTCACCCAGCAAGGCCTTTCCACAATCTCCTGAATTCCAGCCAAAATGACAACTTGCCACTAATCTCCCCCCAACCTGGTTCCCAAAGTCATTAAAACACTCGATGGTAGGTGGTAGGCACACTATTTAATAAAAGCCCTGGGTCTTGCTCTCAAGTTGCTGAGATTCTGATGTGGGAGGCAACGAGTGCTGTAATACAGGGGAGATGGCTGTCTTAAATTCGGGTGCTTGAATGGGCTGAGGGATCAGGGTTGGAGGTTTAGGAATGATGAACTATGTGGGTACCTTCTGTGCTTTAGACTGAACAGTCAGGGTAAATAGTGAAAATTTACATGAACAAGACAAAGAAAACTAAGAAAAGGCTGGTTTGAGAGTCCTGTTTTGGAAAAGTGTGTGATGTCTGTAGGTTCAAGAGACAGGTAGATGGATATTTCCAGGGTGCAGTTAGGATAAAAGAGCAATAAGTTGATGAAAGACCTTTCCTCAGAGAGGTGTGTGCTGGAAATGACAATCTGGAAGTTTAGTTCCTAGCTTTCACTTAAAACCATGAAAATGGATGAAAGTGACTTTCTGTTTAAGATCTTAGGCTGAGAGGAAATGCCAAGGTTTCTATTCAAAAACTCACGATGGTCTGATGTGGAGAAGTGTAGGATGACATTGATTTGTCCTTTCTGCCTTGCCAAAGGGAGCTTAGGTTTATCGGGTTACTCCCATCACTGTGCTCCCATTCCTCTGTGTTTACTTGTACCATCTTTACGCTCTGCTAACTTGTAAATATAGCTTTTCTCTTTTCCTTAAGTCCTTTTGCATATTTAATTCAGAGCAATGTCCTTTTTGTATAGAATTGACTCTGACTGACATTCACCCCTGGGCATCTGCAATCTCTATTTAAGCCTCAGTTGTCCTTACTTCCTAGATCCCCAAAAGCAGGGTCCCGATGAGGGACTATATGGACTCAGGGCAAGCAGTGAGCTATCCTGGCATCGAAATGGGCCTGGCCAAAGTGCCATAATACTTAACTATATGTTAAGAGCATGGTCATGGACAAATTCCATCACAATCCAAAAAGTAGTGACTAGATTTAGACCCTGCTAAGGTTAGAAATGATTAATCCGGCCTGAGCACTGTAGTCAGATGTCCCCAGTAGAGTCACCCTACAAACTCAATGTATCTCTTACTGTGTCCATACAAAATAATAAATATTAAGAAGTAGAATTAAGATTTTTTTTTTGGCTTTTTGGGTCACACCGGCATTGCACAAGGGTCACTCCTGGCTCATGCACTCAGGAATCACTCCTGGCAGTGCTTGGGGGAAGGGGAGGGACCATGGGACCATATGGGATGCGGGTTGGCCATACGCAAGGCAAATGTCCTACCCACTGTGCTATCTCTCCAGCCCCAGCTGTGCCATCACTCCAGCCCCAGTAGAATTAAGATGTTAATTAAGTTATTGGACTAAGGAGAGGAGAAACACCCCAGGTGGTATTTCCCTCCCTTGAGCCTGATGAGCTATCAGGAAGGGCCTTTGATATGTTGATTTTGCTGTTTATCCCCTATGCTGGATGCTGAGAAGTTGGGGAGAGATATGAGAGAGAGAGAGAGAGAGAGAGAGAGAGAGAGACAGACAGACAGACAGATAGACAGACCTAGCAGCAAGATAGAGCATGGAGAGACTAGCAAGGGGACAGAGGGAGAAAAACGCAGGGGAAGAATGCAGGAGTAGGTGCGTGGAGAGAAAGAACCCAGGCTGCGAGAGGGAGTGTGGAGAGATGAGCGGGAGAGACAGGAGGAGATGGGAATGAGGGACACTGAGACTAGAACGAGGAGCTTAGCGAGACTGGAACAGACACGTGGGGAGAATGGAATAAATGGCAACTGATCATCAATCAGCCTGGCCCTCCTTTCCTCCTTCGTTTGCCCATGGCATGAGCCGCCCTGAGTGGGCGAGTGGCCTGAGTCCACAGAACGCGGGCAGTGTGAGAGAGAGCCGTGGATCTCCCTAGCCGCCCGAAGAACACACAGAGAAGGTGACCAGAGACATTAAGTATCCAAGTATCCAAATAGCCAGAGCTAATATAGTTATCCCCTACCCTAAGGCCTACAAACACCTGTATGAAAGGAACAGAGGGAAAACTACATATTACCATGCTGCCACTGAGTAATGGTATGGGCATCAGGATGACCGTGTGCTCTTGAGAAAATTACCTGAAATGATAGCGCCATGAAGATCTCCCTTTAACAGTTTGGCCTGAATCATCTGAGGCTGCCTACAAGAGATAAACAGAAAGCCCTTAAAGTAGGCTGTAATACAGAGCTCTTAAAGAAGAAACAGGTAAATAAATTCCTGTAGCCAACAACATAGGTTGCTGGCTCATACAGCTGCCGTTACAGTGATGATTTAACTTGCATTCTGTCTCAAAGTAAGAAGCTTCAGAAATGCAACTTACGTGTCTGGTTTGAGCCCATTGCACAGATCACGAATGTACTGTTTCCAGAGTTCGTGTAAAGGGAGGAAAAGACTGTACCTGTGGCAAGAGAAAGGTGAAGTTAGGCAATATGAGTTTGGGATTACAATGTCCAAGCTTTATGCCAAGGAGTAGGGATCCATTGCGGATTGTGTACAAAAACTAGCTCTGTTGCAACAACCTAAAAGCAAGCTCCTTCATCTCCGGAACCCCAGTCTTCTCATCAACAGTACTTCCCTTAGGCTAAGTTTCTGCTAACAGAAGAGAAAGTTGTCTCTTCCTTAGCCCTTTCATCCTCCCTGCTGGCTAGGTGCAGTCTTAACAGCGAGATCTCAAACATATTTTACACCATGAAGTAATGTCTAAGGATGGTGGGGCAGTGATGGCACACTGCCTGGGTCTACTGATAGTTACAGAGTAGCACTGTAGCACTGTCCTACCGTTGTTCATCGATTTGCTTGAGCGGGCACCAGTAAAGTCTCCACTGTGAGACTTGTTACTGTTTTTGGCATATTGAATACGCCATGAGGAGCTCGCCAGGCTCTGCCATGCAGGCGGGATACTCTTGGTAGCTTGCTGGGCTCTCTGAGAGGGATGGGGGGAGCAAACTAGGGTCAGCCACGTGCAAGGCAAATGCCCTAATCACTGTGCTATCGCTCCAGCCCAGCTATAGAGTAGCCTGTCAGACCAGCCCAAGATGGTGTTAAAAGAGAAATAAACTTTAGTCATGTTATTTGGAAATTTTCTGTTCTAGGAAGAACAAGTTAATAGGTCTTTGGTAAACAAGAGTGCAGTGGCTGTCTGTCATGCAAATTCCATGTAACGTTTTGTCTGTAAGTTTTGTCTGCAATGACTACCTCTGGGGTGCTGGTTAGGGAGCCTCAAAGACTTTCCTTGGGAGCCATCACCACTTGTCTTGGTGCCTTGTGGAGAATCTACTCACAAGAAGTTCTTTGTTAGAGAAATGAAAACCTCAAGTTCAAATCCAAATGGGCGAATTCCAACAGGTACAGCCCGCCCCCAAGGGCCTGGGTTCCTCTCTGGGCACGCGCAGCTAGAAACAGCCCCGAGACAGCCGGTTTTCAACCCCTGAGCCGCGTGGGACGGGCACAGAGGCCCAGCTCTGGGCAACAAAGCTGAACGGCTCCAATTCCAACAGGTACAGCCCGCCCCCAAGGGCCTGGGTTCCTCTCTGGGCACGCGCAGCTAGAAACAGCCCCGAGACAGCCGGTTTTCAACCCCTGAGCCGCGTGGGACGGGCACAGAGGCCCAGCTCTGGGCAACAAAGCTGAACGGCTCCAATTCCAACAGGTACAGCCCGCCCCCAAGGGCCTGGGTTCCTCTCTGGGCACGCGCAGCTAGAAACAGCCCCGAGACAGCCGGTTTTCAACCCCTGAGCCGCGTGGGACGGGCACAGAGGCCCAGCTCTGGGCAACAAAGCTGAACGGCTCCAATTCCAACAGGTACAGCCCGCCCCCAAGGGCCTGGGTTCCTCTCTGGGCACGCGCAGCTAGAAACAGCCCCGAGACAGCCGGTTTTCAACCCCTGAGCCGAGTGGGACGGGCACAGAGGCCCAGCTCTGGGCAACAAAGCTGAACGGCTCCAATTCCAACAGGTACAGCCCGCCCCCAAGGGCCTGGGTTCCTCTCTGGGCACGCGCAGCTAGAAACAGCCCCGAGACAGCCGGTTTTCAACCCCTGAGCCGCGTGGGACGGGCACAGAGGCCCAGCTCTGGGCAACAAAGCTGAACGGCTCCAATTCCAACAGGTACAGCCCGCCCCCAAGGGCCTGGGTTCCTCTCTGGGCACGCGCAGCTAGAAACAGCCCCGAGACAGCCGGTTTTCAACCCCTGAGCCGCGTGGGACGGGCACAGAGGCCCAGCTCTGGGCAACAAAGCTGAACGGCTCCAATTCCAACAGGTACAGCCCGCCCCCAAGGGCCTGGGTTCCTCTCTGGGCACGCGCAGCTAGAAACAGCCCCGAGACAGCCGGTTTTCAACCCCTGAGCCGCGTGGGACGGGCACAGAGGCCCAGCTCTGGGCAACAAAGCTGAACGGCTCCAATTCCAACAGGTACAGCCCGCCCCCAAGGGCCTGGGTTCCTCTCTGGGCACGCGCAGCTAGAAACAGCCCCGAGACAGCCGGTTTTCAACCCCTGAGCCGCGTGGGACGGGCACAGAGGCCCAGCTCTGGGCAACAAAGCTGAACGGCTCCAATTCCAACAGGTACAGCCCGCCCCCAAGGGCCTGGGTTCCTCTCTGGGCACGCGCAGCTAGAAACAGCCCCGAGACAGCCGGTTTTCAACCCCTGAGCCGAGTGGGACGGGCACAGAGGCCCAGCTCTGGGCAACAAAGCTGAATGGCTCCAATTCCAACAGGTACAGCCCGCCCCCAAGGGCCTGGGTTCCTCTCTGGGCACGCGCAGCTAGAAACAGCCCCGAGACAGCCGGTTTTCAACCCCTGAGCCGCGTGGGACGGGCACAGAGGCCCAGCTCTGGGCAACAAAGCTGAACGGCTCCAATTCCAACAGGTACAGCCCGCCCCCAAGGGCCTGGGTTCCTCTCTGGGCACGCGCAGCTAGAAACAGCCCCGAGACAGCCGGTTTTCAACCCCTGAGCCGCGTGGGACGGGCACAGAGGCCCAGCTCTGGGCAACAAAGCTGAACGGCTCCAATTCCAACAGGTACAGCCCGCCCCCAAGGGCCTGGGTTCCTCTCTGGGCACGCGCAGCTAGAAACAGCCCCGAGACAGCCGGTTTTCAACCCCTGAGCCGCGTGGGACGGGCACAGAGGCCCAGCTCTGGGCAACAAAGCTGAACGGCTCCAATTCCAACAGGTACAGCCCGCCCCCAAGGGCCTGGGTTCCTCTCTGGGCACGCGCAGCTAGAAACAGCCCCGAGACAGCCGGTTTTCAACCCCTGAGCCGCGTGGGACGGGCACAGAGGCCCAGCTCTGGGCAACAAAGCTGAACGGCTCCAATTCCAACAGGTACAGCCCGCCCCCAAGGGCCTGGGTTCCTCTCTGGGCACGCGCAGCTAGAAACAGCCCCGAGACAGCCGGTTTTCAACCCCTGAGCCGAGTGGGACGGGCACAGAGGCCCAGCTCTGGGCAACAAAGCTGAATGGCTCCAATTCCAACAGGTACAGCCCGCCCCCAAGGGCCTGGGTTCCTCTCTGGGCACGCGCAGCTAGAAACAGCCCCGAGACAGCCGGTTTTCAACCCCTGAGCCGCGTGGGACGGGCACAGAGGCCCAGCTCTGGGCAACAAAGCTGAACGGCTCCAATTCCAAACAGGAGACATTCCCAACTCCTCGCCCAGTGCCAGGGACTCTTTCCGGAGCCGCGGCCGCTAACGCGGCCGCGAAATATTTTCCCACTACATATGCCATAGGAACCATAAGCTAACTTCTTAGATGGAAACTTCTCTATTTTAGCTCAGCCACTAGAAATACAGTTGCCAATAACTCATAAGCCTATCTTAACTCACACTGCATATCAAGCAGAATAGTAACACTGAACGTGAAGGACTAAACCACACCTCTCACAATGGTAAAGCAACGCAAAAGCCCACCAAACATTCATATTGAAGAGTCTAGCCCAGATGACACCAACAGTACTGTAGTGTTAGACAACCTCTCTGACAAGGAATTCAGAAGGGAGCTACTTAGGATGCTTAGGGAATTAAAAGAAACAATGGAAAGCAATGCCAATAGAAGACAAGAGGATCTGAAGGCAGAAATGAGGAAAATGCAATCAGAAATGTCAGACCTGAAAAATCTCGTAGGCGAATTGAAAAGCTCAGTGGAAGGCCTCAGCAGCAGAGTAACAGCGGCTGAGAACAGAATCAGTGAGCTCGAAGATGAAGTTCAGAGACTCTCCCGAAAAGAGCAGAAAATGGAAAAGAGACTCACAATTCGGGAACAGATGGCAAGAGAAGATCGTGATGAAGCCAAGAGGGGTAACATAAGAATTATTGGAGTCCCAGAGGGACAGGAAGAAAACCTCGATGAAGAAGAAACTGTCAAAGACATCATTGCTACAACATTTCCAGAGCTGAAGAAAACTTGTGACCACATTCAGGAGGCCCGAAGGGTACCAGCTAGAAGAAATCCGAATAAAAATACCCCAAGACACATTCTGATCAAAATGACCAAAACCTTAGACAGAGACAAAATTCTGAAAGCAGCAAGATCGAAGAAAGAAATCTCTTACAAAGGAGCATCCTTAAAATTCACAGCTGATTTTTCTGATGAAACCCTCATGGCCCGAAAACAGTGGTGGGACATAGTAAAAAAACTCAATGAAATAAATGCCTCCCCCAAAATACTTTTCCCAGCAAGACTCTCATTCATAATAGAAGGAACAACACACAGTTTCACAGACAAACAACAGCTCAGGAACTTCATAGACTCAAAACCATGGTTACAAGAACAACTAAATGGGCTACTTTAAGGCAAGAAAGGCCCCTCAAATACACCCAATTTTAACATAACAATGGGACAAAATCCCATAACAATAATCTCTCTCAATGTCAATGGGCTAAACGCACCAATTAAAAGACATAGAGTGGCAGGATGGATTAGAAAATTGAACCCAACATTCTGCTGCCTGCAAGAAACGCATCTCAATAGTCAAAGCAAACACAGACTCAGAGTCAAAGGCTGGAAAACAATCCTACAGGCAAACAGCTCCCATAAAAAAGCTGGGGTAGCCATCCTTATATCAGACCACATTGATTTCAGAGTGAGGAAGGTCATAAGAGACAGTGAAGGCCATTACTTATTGATCAGAGGATCTGTACAACAGGAAGAACTTACAATAATAAATGTATATGCACCTAATGAGAGACCAGCAAAGTATTTAAAACAACTACTCATAGATTTGGAAAAAGACATCAATAGCAACACAATACTAGTGGGAGACTTCAACACTGCTTTGTCACCTCTTGATAGATCAACCAGACTCAAGCTTAGCAAGGACATACTTCATTTGAGGGAAACAATGGAAGAAAGGGACTTAGTAGATATATACAGGACACTTCATCCACAAAAAGCTGAATACACATTCTTCTCAAGCGTACATGGAACATTCTCCAAGATAGACCACATGCTGAGCCACAAAACATGCCTCCATAAAATTAAGAAGGTAGAGATTGTATCAACAATCTTCTCAGACCATAATGCGCTGAAATTAGAAGTAAATCACACACAAAAACAGAAAACTAAATCAAACACCTGGAAATTAAACAGTGCACTATTGAACAACGAGTGGATTAGACAGGAAATCAAAGAGGAAATCAAAAGATTCCTAGAAACGAATGAAAATGAGAACACGAGTTACCAAAACTTATGGGACACAGCAAAGGCTGTGTTAAGAGGAAAGTTTATAGCTCTACAAGCATTCCTCAGGAAGGAGGAGCGAGCACACATAAGTAACCTAACCTCACAGCTTAAGAGCTTGGAGAAGGACCAAAAAAAGGAGCACAACCCGAACAGGAGAAAGGAAATAATAAAACTCAGAGCAGAGATTAACGAGATGGAAACCCAAAAAACAATCCGAAAGATCAATGAAACCAAGAGCTGGTTCTTTGAGAAAATTAACAAGATCGATAAGCCTCTAGCAAAACTCACAAAGAAAGGGAGAGAGAAAACCCTAATAAACCGAATCAGAAATGAAAAGGGGGTCATTACAACAGAAACCACAGAAATTCAGAGGATCCTCAGGGAGTACTTTGAGAAGCTTTATGCCACGGAACATCAAAACCTCGAGGAAATGGATAAATTCCTAGACTCCTACAGACTCCCAAGGCTGAACCAAGAAGACCTGGAATACCTGAACAGACCTATCACCATCAAGGAAATTGAAATGGTAATAAAAAGTCTCCCCAAGCACAAAAGTCCTGGCCCGGATGGATTCACTAGTGAATTCTTCCAAATCTTTAAAGAGGACTTACTCCCAATACTCTTTAAGCTTTTCCACGAAATTGAAATATCAAAAACACTTCCAAACAGTTTCTACGAAGCAAATATCACACTGATACCAAAAGCAGACAGAGATACCACAAAGAAAGAGAATTACAGGCCGATATCCCTGATGAACACAGATGCAAAGATCCTCAACAAACTACTAGCAAATAGAATCCAACTACTCATCAAAAAGATCATACACCATGACCAAGTAGGATTCATCCCAGGGATGCAAGGATGGTTCAACATTCGGAAATCAATCAACATAATCCATCATATCAACAAAAGAAAAGATAAAAAGCATATGATCATATCAATAGATGCAGAGAAAGCATTTGATAAGATCCAGCACCCCTTTATGATGAAAACCCTAGCCAAAATGGGTATAGAGGGGACCTTCCTCAACATAATTAAAGCCATCTACCACAAGCCTACAGCAAGCATCATCCTCAATGGGGAAAAACTGAGAGCCTTCCCTCTAAGATCAGGGACGAGACAGGGATGCCCACTCTCTCCACTGCTGTTCAATATAGTACTGGAAGTACTTGCAATAGCGATTAGGCAGGAAAAAGATATTAAGGGCATTCAGATAGGAAAGGAAGAAATCAAGCTCTCACTATTCGCAGATGATATGATACTCTACTTAGAGAACCCAATAACTTCCACCAAAAAACTCTTAGAAACAATAGACTCGTATAGTAAAGTTGCAGGTTATAAAATCAATACCCAAAAGTCCATGGCTTTCCTATACGCAAACAGTGAGAGAGAAGAAAGCAACATGAAAAAAACAATCCCATTCACAATTGTGCCCCAGAAAATCAAGTACCTAGGAATCAGCTTAACTAAGGAAGTAAAGGACCTGTACAAAGAAAACTACAAAACGCTACTTCAGGAAATAAAAGAGGACATGAGGAAATGGAAAGATATCCCCTGCTCATGGGTCGGGAGACTTAACATTGTAAAAATGGCAATACTACCGAAAGCATTGTATAAATTCAATGCAATCCCTATAAGGATACCCATGACATTCTTCAAAGAAATGGAGCAAACACTCTTGAAATTTATATGGAACAATAAGCCCCCACGAATAGCTAAAGCAATTCTTGGGAAAAAGAAAATGGGAGGAATCAACCTCCCGAACTTCAAACTGTACTACAAAGCAGTAATAATTAAAACAGCATGGTACTGGAACAAAGGCAGAACTGCAGACCAATGGAACAGGGTTGAATACACTGACATCTCTCCTCAATCATATGCTCATCTAATCTTTGATAAAGGTGCAAGTAATGTGAAGTGGAGTAAGGAAAGCCTCTTTAATAAATTGTGTTGGCATCACTGGACGGCTACATGCAAAAAAATAGGCTCAGAACTCTGCCTAACACCATGTACAAAAGTAAGATCAAAATGGATTAAAGACCTCAACATCAGACCAGAAACCATAAGGTACATTGAAGATAAAGTTGGCAAAACCCTCCATGACATTGAAGCTAATGGTATCTTCAAAGATGCCACGCCACTGGCCGAGCAAGTGAAAACAGAGATAGATAAATGGGACTATCTTAAACTAAGAAGCTTCTGCACCTCCAAAGAAACAGTGACCAAAATACAAAGACAGTCTACAGAATGGGAAAGGATATTCACCGAATACACATCTGACAAGGGGTTGATATCCAGGATATACAAAATACTGGTTAAACTCCACAAGAAGAAAACATCCAACCCCATCCAAAAATGGGGCAATGAAATGAACAGAAACTTTCTCAAAGAAGAAATCCGAATGGCAAAAAAGCACATGAGAAAATGCTCTACATCATTAATCATCAGGGAGATGCAGATCAAAACCACAATGAGATACCATCTCACACCTCAGAGACTGGCCCACATTCAAAAGAACAAAAGCAACCGATGCTGGCGTGGATGTGGCGAGAAAGGGACACTCCTTCACTGTTGGTGGGAATGTCCACTGGTTCAGCCCTTCTGGAAAACAGTATGGACGATTCTCAAAAAATTAGAAATTGAGCTCCCATTTGACCCAGCAATACCACTCCTGGGAATATATCCCAGAGAGGCAAAAATGTATAGTCGAAGTGACATCTGCACTTGTTTGTTCATTGCAGCCCTCTTTACAATAGCCAGAAACTGGAAGAAACCTGAATGCCCAAGAACAGATGACTGGTTAAAGAAACTTTGGTACATCTACACAATGGAGTACTATGTAGCTCTTAGAAAAGATGAAGTCATGAAATTTACATACAAGTGGTACAATATGGAAAGTATCATGCTAAGCGAAATGAGTCAGAAAGAGAGGGATAGACATAGAAAGATTGCATTCATCTGGGGGATATAAAGTAACAAAGTATGAGATTAATACCCAAGAATAGCTGAGATCAGCACCAGGAGGATTACTCCATAACTTAGAGGCCAGCCGGGTATCCTAGAGGAAAGGGCTATTCAGATAGAGAAGGGAGCACCAAATAAAGGATGTTTGGAGGATCCTCCCAGGAGGGGAGATGCATGTCGAAAGTAGACTATGGACTGAACATGTTTGCCACTCAATGCCTCTTTTGCAGACCACAACACCCAAAAGGAGAGAGAGAACACAGGGGATTGCCCTGCCACAGAGACGGGGGGATGGGGGGATGGGGGTGGGAGGGATATTATCCATGGTGGTGGAAAATGGGCACTGGTGGAGGGATGGGTATCTGATCATTGTATAATTGAAACCAAAGCACAAAAAATTGTAAATCTACAACTTTAAAAAAAAATAAAATAAAATAAAGGGGGAAAAAAAAAAAAAAAATCCAAATGGGCTGGAGGCAGGCAGAAGACCCACCCTCAACCTAAAGCCCAGATGATTCCAAGAGGGGCAGTGAAAAAAAAATGACAGACTTTGTCTATAGGATATGAGAAGCTATTTATCAGATCTGGAAGCAAAAGCCACAGTCACATGTAAATGCAGAACAGTGAACAAAACAGAATGGTGAGTTAGCCGGCGCGAACATGTCCTCCCACGGCAAGTGATATGTCCCTTTCCGCAACTTCGGAAACATGTGGGCACATGTTTTTTTTTTTTTTTTTAAGTAACCCCCAGAGGGAGATTCTGTATAAAGTTATTAAAAGCTACAAAGTGATATCTATATATATATTAAGAAATACCAGTTCCTTTTTTTCTAGGAAAGCTGAAAGACAAGACAGCCGTTGCCACAGACAACAGACTCATTTATGGCACCGGTGTTATTAGTTAAGTCTAGGACAGAAGCCAAGCCGTAAGTCTCAATATGTTTTGGAACTAAAAGCCAAATTCTAATAGTTCTAATTGGTAAATGAAGACTGCCCTCTTGTGGCAGAAGAGGGAAGGGTCCCTAACTTAAACTGAGTAGGAACTCAGTTTATAAACTCAGTTTATAAATGATGTGTCTATCTAGTCACATCATTTCCCAAATCCTGACCCACAAGTTTTTTTGAAAGATTAAGCGAGGGGTAGGGTGGGGAGGTGCGGGTGGTCAGCGGGGCAGTGTAGAAGGGCCACAAAGATCTGACTTACTTCTGCTGTTCTGGCTTAATGTCAAAGAGCCGCATTTCCCGTCTCTGCCTGGCAGAGAGGCCTTTGGATTTCTTTTTCTTCTCTTTTTTTTTCCGGTGAGTGAAGTATTCCAGAACCACAGCCTTTCGTTGCAAATGATCTTCGCAGGCTTGCTGGCTCATGTGAGGCATGCTGCGCTTCAGGAAGGCCCTCACAAAGACTTCTGCTTGCTTGGTCCCCGAGTGCTATGTGGAGACAGGGATGCGTGGCCTTACTGCTCTGGTAGAGCACGCTGGGACTCCACATCCTCCCACACACCGCTGCAACATCATTCACTATACACTCTACTCTGCAGGATCTGGTAACCTATACCTGCCCAGATGTGAAAGTCACATACAAATGCTAATCTGTGATGGGGAGGAAACGTGTTATTTGAAAGAAAGAAACTTATCTTTGACAAGGGCAAGCTTGAGAAGGGTATGACTAGACAAAGTAGTCATGATTAGATGGAGGTATGCTCAGAGTAGATCCTTGAAGGAAAAAATGGTAACACAAGGGAAAACAGTATAAGTAAAGTGCTCCAGAATGAAGCAAGTCCTTCCAGAGAGGGGCAGGCAGGAGTTCTGATACTGCACCTATGACTGAATCCTTTCTACTTAGATGTCAGTCTTGAGGATGTGATGTAGCTGCTCTCCTAGTGGGATCTGACATCATTTTTGGGAAACAAACTGTCAAGAGCACCTCTACCCTGTGGTCTCCCTCTCTCCCACTTAGTGATTGAGGACAGGCTCTGAGGGGACTTCTGGAAAAAGAAACTGCTGCAACTTTAACTCTTTCAAAGAACTCCAGTCATCACTGTCTCTCATGCTGTAGTTCCAAGCATCCATTGTCATTCCTCAGGTGCCCCTGCCTCATGTCTGCCACAGCCCTGGGAAGAACCGTAAGCCATGATTATGTTTTTCAGTTGGGTAATTTGTTGAGTCTGTTTCACTAAACAACTTGAGGATATGATGCCAATAATATTCAAACTCTCCCGTTGTGAGGGAAAGGCACGGTAAGTATATGAAGATGTAACACACATACTCTTCATAGTAATTCATGTAAGAATGGTTGTCAGATTCAGCTTTGCTCTTATCAACATTTTCTTTTCCATACCCAAATGGCCCTTCATTCATGAAGAAGTCAAATAAACATCGGCCTTTTAAAAATCTTTTTAAATCTTTGCCTACTTCCTCCTTATGAGTCACCAGTGTAGCTTCTGCTTTGTTGACAAAGCTTTATTTGCAAAATCCAGATATAATCCACAGTGGCAAGGTCAAAATTCAGGTAAGCATAGTAAGCATTTCCCCTATGTAGTGGGAAATGTCATAATCCCCAGCTAAACAAACGTGAATTTATCACTAGGGGAAAAGAGGCCAGTATATGGAAACAGAACACCAAAACAATAAGCCTTGATTGAGACTAAAACAGCTGCTAGAAAGATTAAGGAGGAAGATATGGTAAAGGAATCTAAAATAGCACTAAGGTTTACAAAGCACTGATCCTTCTCTCTCGCCCACCCTTCTCTTTCCCCCTCATCAGCAAATTTGGAGGAACCAAAGACTGAGGTCATGGCCTCACATTTACCATAAATGCTTCCTAAGCCACTGAATCACTTTCTGGGGCCCTTTATCACCAAAGAACCCAAATAGCAGAGCTGCCAGGATGGCCTTGTCATGAGATGTGAACCTGAGGTCTCATCAAGGCATCTCTACGTACCCCACCTCCAACTCTGTCATTACCTCTATAGTTTTCAGACCTCTTGCCAAGCACTATACCTTAACATCCAACTCTTTTGCCTCTTGCTGAGAAAACGCATGGTAGATCGTATCTAGAAAATGAAAAATAAATACGAAACATCAATTTCTGTTTGGTATGGCTATAAGACCCAAGACATCTAAATGTGAAAAAAAATGTTTATTCCAAGACAGGAGAAGATGGGATTGTACAAAGGGCACAGCCTAAAAGCTTTCTTGGATGTCTCCTTTCAGCCCCTCTGGTCACATCCATTTTAGAAGGTGCAAGGTTATGCTTTAAAAGAGTATTTCTTAACCTTTCAAAAATGTAAATGTGTGAGAATCTTTGTGTTCTTATAAAAAATAGATTCTTGGGTTCCATTCCCAGTGTCTACATTTCTAAAAAGTTCTCATATGCTATTACCAGTCGGGAAATCACACTTGGAACTGTACAGGTTTAAACTACTAGCGGTGGGCCAGAGAGGTAGATCAACGGGTTGGAGTTCATGCTTTACATGCAGGAGGCCTAGGTTCAGTAATTAACACTGATTTCCCATTTACCACTAGGAGCAATACTTCAACACCACGCTGGGAGTCGTGCCTAAGCACTGTTGATTGTGACCATCAAAGCAAAACACCTCTTCCCCGAACCCCCACCCCCCACCCCAAATACCAAAATGACCAAATTGCCATAGGTTGAAAGATTACACAGCTGAAGATCACTGAATTACTAGAGTTTGTTAACAGTAAGATGTTTTAAATATGTATGTTATATGTATATATTTATACATATATACGGGGAGCCTGGCAAGCTCCCTGTGGCGTATTCAATATGCCAAAACCAGTAACAATAACGGGTCTCATTCCCCTGACCCTGAAAGAGCCTTCAATTGTTGGGAAAGATGAGAAAAGAGAGGTTGCTAAAATCTCAGGGCTGGGACGAATGGAGACGTTACTGGCACCAGCTCGAGTAAATCGACTATCAACGGGATGACAGCGATAACTTTTTTGTCTCCATAAAAATTTGGAGTTATCATAAAAATGATGCACATTTTTTCAAACTGGGGAGGAAGGAGGGGGAAGTGACCAATTTTCACACCTTACTTTGCCTGACCCGGCCATGTGCAAGGCAAATGCCCTACCACTGTGCTATCTTGCAGACCCAGGTTCGATTACTCAGCCCCTCTCGGAGAGCCCGGCAAGCTACCAAGAGTATCTCGTCCACACGGCAAAGCCTGGCAAGCTCCCTGTGATGTATTAGATGTGCCAGACACAGTAACAACAAGTCTCACAATGGAGATGTTACTGGGCCCGATTGAACTAATTGATGAACAAGATTGCGCTAATCGATGAACAACGTGAGGACAGTGCTGCAGAGCTACTTTGCCAGCTAGAAAATCAAGAAAATCATGGCCCTAGGGATAGAACTAGAATGTAAATATATCAAGAGAGAAAATGGATAAGAGAGACAAAGGTTCGGTTTAAGAGCAGGAAAACCTGACACTGGACTCAAGCTATATTCTAGAAATTCCACCCCATAGCTCCTTTGTGCTGAGTACAAATGGAAAGAGTGATCCAAATTTTACATATGAATCTACTTCTCCCTCAAAGGAGGATGGATATTATCACCCCTCTGAAAAGTGTAACCTACAGGGCCTAAAAGCCCACGACTAGATTTTGCATCACTTGATCACAGTGCCTGGAATTGGACGCGGAAGCCTTTCTGTAAAGGCACACACCTAACGTTTACCATCAGAGGCGCCACACACCTCATCAGACGCTATGCATTTTCAGCTCCTTATAGAACAATCCTTAAAGCCCTTATAATTTCTATTAGACTATGAGGAAACGTGCTAAGGCCAGCTGTCTGATTAGACTGGTAGGGCGAGGCAAACACCTAGCTAAAACTTCCGTATCCAGAACAACTCCCCTCCTCCCCCTCTGCACTTACACTGCCCTGGGGGCTTGCTCTAATCCCACCAAAACCTGGGTTAGGGGCTGGAGCAATAGCACACCGGGTAGGACGTTTGCCTTGCACACCGCTGACCCGGGTTCAATCCCCAGTATCTCATATGGTCCCCTGAGCACTGCCAGGAGTGATTCCTGAATGCAGAGCCAGGAGTAGTCTCTGTGCATCTTCTTGATGTGACCCAAAAAAGGAAAAAAAAAAAGCGCCAAAGAAACAAAAACACCCCCCCCCCAAAAAACCCCCCCTGGGTTAGTGACGTCATGCCCGCTCCCCCCCCCCCCCCCCACCCCACACACACACATATACATCCAGCCTTCCCCGTCTAAAGAACGTTTCCACGTTTCCAGAACCGAGGCTGGGCAGGCTCCATCAGTGCAGAAGAGGAAACCGGGTCGTGGCCAAGGAACCACAGGGGGCCCCGCCCCCCCCCAAGGTCAAGTCTGACCAAGGTCCCCCTCCCTACAGAGGAGCATCCCGAGGGGGAGTCGGGGCGGGGGTTTTGTGGGCCTCAGTTTCCTTTATGGAAGCAGCGCGGTTCCCGGAGCAGAGCCGTTCTCACTCCTCCACGGGACCGTTTTAGTTTAGTTACTTTGTTTTTTTTTCCCCCCCAGCCTGCGGCCGCCGCTTCACTTTCCCTCTCCTCAGCTCTGGGGCTCTCAGCAGCGCTTCCGCGGCCACAACACACGCCCGAGACGGAGACTCCCGAGCTGCGAGGCCGTGGGAAAACCGCGCTTACTTTTCATTCTCGGGCCGCTCGCCCTCTCGCGCCCGGGGGTCTCCTTCGGAGGCATCTCCCCCACGCGGTGGTCTCTATCTCTCTCTCGCTCGTCAGAGCGCGAGTCCCGGCGGCGGATCCGCGTCCCGGAGTCTCACAGCTCCGCGGTGGCGCGCCGGTGACGTCACTGCCGCGCGCCGCCGAGGGACGCTCGGGTGCCGGGTGGGGCGCTGGGCCGTTTGGTTGCTTGTCAAGGCCCAGGCGTTTTTTTGGCTTTACTAGGGCTGGGGGCGCGGAGTTTTCACGCTTGTGTGTTTCTGTAGATTGGGGGAGGCCGTAAGAAGTAGGATTGGGGCGAGAGCCGGGAAGGAGTCAGCGTGTGAGCGATGCAAGCGGACGTGCAGAGGAGTTGGGGTCTCCGGGGGAGAGCGGAAGTGGGATGGGCATGGTGGTGGGGGGGGGGAGGAAGGAGATCTGCAGGGTCCTGATTTATTTTCTTTTATTTTTTTTATAAAGTAATTCACAATATTTGATCACATTTAATAGTCGAACCCCAAATCCCACCATTACACCTTCCCACCACGATATTAAGGATGTTTCCGTCAGGAATCCCGACCCCTGCCCCAAAGTAGAACTGAGCAAATTTATTTTGTGCGTTTGTTATGAATTAACTGCTCTGAAGATGCTCCAAAAGAGTTTCCTTAGAGGAAAGTGTAAGGATCGTTGGATTTCACCCAGGGCCCACTAAGCTTACCTTCTATAAGATATTTCTAATAAGTTGTTAAAGGTTGAGCTATATCTATCTATCTATCTATCTATCTATCTATATCACTGTCCTCCCATTGTTTATCAATTTGCCCGAGTGGGCTCAGTAACACCTCCATTGTGAGACTTATTGTTACTGTGTTTGGCATATCTAATAAGTCACGGGTAACTTGCCAGGCTTTGCCATGCGGGTGAAATACTCTCGGTAGCTTGCCAGGCTCTCCATTAGGAGCAGAGGAATCGAACCTGGGCCGACTGAGTGGACCGCATGCAAGGCAAACTCCTTATCCACTGTGCTATCACTCCAGCCCATATGTATATATACATATATATATATGTATATGCATCACTGTATCACTGTCCTCTCATTGTTCATGGTTTGCTCAAGTGGGCACCAGTAACATCTCCATTATGAGCCTTGTTGTTACTGTTTTTGGCATACTGAATACGTCACAGGTAGCATGCCAGGCTTTGCCGTGCGGGCGGGATACTCTCGGTAGCTTGCTGGGCTCTCTGGGAGGAGCAGAGAAATTGAACCGGGATCGACCGTGTACAAGGCAAACGCCCTGCCCACTGTGCTATCGCTCTATAGCTTATATGTATATGTGCTTATATATATATATGTAAAAATATACTTCCCTCTAAGATTGGTTGCCTTCTAATTTAAATTCCATCAAATGTGGTGAGCTACTCTTGGAATATGAATGGTGTGCGGTATGAGATGTTCAAGAATAGGTTCACTCATGGGTAATATTCGACCTGAGCATGCTGAGAGTGGGCATGAGCATGGTGGCAGTTGAGTTCTGGAGGTTTTTGGCTGCCAGGGTTGGATCCCTTGGGATGGGGAGGGGTCTCACCCATCCCCACTACAGGTTGTCCCAAATGAAACAGCCTGGCACGGAGTCTGGCAGCATGACTATGGCAAGTCATTTTCGGCTCTCTAGGGCCCTGGTTTAGTGTAATCTGCAGATTACAGGAGCCATGAAAGTTGCATTAGGAGGTATAGATTCTAGTCTTGTCTCAGCTGCTCCCTAGCTTGTGTGACTACTCTTAATTATCTACTCACTAGTTGATCTCTGAATTTACCTTGTCCCATCTGCTGTGAGGGAGGATGGGTTTAACAGTCTCTGAAAGTCTTCTGGGAGGCCCCAAATTTTAGTTTTTGAAATAAGTTAGAAGAAGAACTGATTTTCATTACTCTGGAAAAGGTCCCAGTTTGAAGGCTTGGGCAGACCTCCTATCAGGGACAGGGTGCTATGTTGTTATAGTTTCTTTGAAAGTAGATCCTGGAAAGGGTGCTGAAGCCTCTATTCTTGTGGTTCGCAACTTTCAGTACAGTAGAAAAAAATCTAAAGGGACCTGGGAGCTTGAAGGGATTTACTTAACTCTAGATCTGCATTTGTCAACTGGTGCCATGGATATTCCAAGAGGCCCACCGCTGAAAATCTGTTAATGGGCAGTGCAGAAGACCAGGGTCCAACTGGAAGTGGTGGGGATTGGGGGTGGGTGGGACACTTCGATAGCTACAAAGGGGGCATTGGTTGAAAAGTTTGAGAAATACTGATCTAGATTATCATTAAAATGGAGACACAACATTTGAACTGGGGTGTATTGCATTTGTAGATACTTAAACATAGTTTTAAAATATTATGGCGCATCAAGACAGCCAATTTCAAAGACAGCTATGAACTCAAGGGAACCCTTTTGAGTAGCATCTCTATATTTTTGAATATGCTGGGAAGCCTTATCTTTGAGAGATTTCCTACGATTGTTAGGTCCTTTAATTCCAAACTGACAGGCCCCCTCTCAGGTATCCCAGGCAAGCACTATCTTAGGGCGAATTTCTCAGTTGAGATGTGGTGAATCGCTTGACCTGCTCTGACTCCATAATTCGTTATTTCTAAAGTCCTTGAAAAAGCAAACAAACATTTTTATATTATCAAACCTTTTACATTATCTCCAGGGAGTATTATGTATGCAGACTTCTCACTTTATGCATTTTCCTCCTTTTAGGTATGTGCTTTGTGTTTGTTGTTTAAATAGAAAAACACTGAAAACTGTTGATCCACAGGTGTGCATTAAGTAAGTAAAATATCAACTGGATGGTTAAATAAACAATGTTACCGTCCAGTCTTCTCTCTTTGAGATCTTCCTTGATCGCATCTCTGCACTGCTTTGCGAGCTCGGACGTTAGCTTGCGGTTGCCTGAGGCATGCGCCAAACCACGCTGGCGAATTAGCTCAAGAGTTTTCGAAGACAGGCGTTTTTCTGTTGCTATCTCTCTCTTGGCGTTCCTCGCACATTCATGGAGGTGCTGAACCAGTCGATCGTATTCCTCGTCAATGTTGTCAACAATGGCATCTTCCCATGTTGCCGCAATAGTACCAAAGAGTTCCCAGTTGGTGGTCGTTCTGGGAGTTCTCTTTTTGAACTTTGCAGCCCTTTCTCCCCGCTCTGTGAAGTAGAATTTTGCACGAAGGAGATGGTGGTCCGATCCCGTTCGAAATTTTGGGACAACAGCAACATCAGTCAGGCAAAACCGTGGATTATGATGTGGTCTATTTCATTGTGGAATCGTCCACCGGGAGACTCCCATGTCCAACGTTTAGATTCTGCCTTCTGGAACTGTGAGTTACCATGGATGGTCTTGGTCGACACGATGAACTCAGACAGTCTCTCACCCTGTTCGTTCCATTCTAGGCCATGGGTCCCTATATGAAGTTCTTCAGCTGATCTTCTCTGTCCTATCTTGGCATTAAAATCACCCACAATGATCTTGTAGAAGGTGTGGTCTTCTTTATAGAACTTCTCCAGCTCCATGTAGAACTTCTCGATTTCTCTTTTGTCATAATGAGATGTTGGTGCGTAGACAACGAAGATAGAAACTGCAGGCAGTGAGCCACATCTATTCAAATGTAAACGTCGATTCGGGTTGTTAGGCATTGGAATGAATCAATGCTTTTGGCCAAGTTTGTGTTAACAAGGACACCGACGCCTCCGACACCTCTTTTATCGCATGTTCCGAGGAACAATTCTTCTCCAGTGTCGAAAATGGCATGGTGAGATTCGTGCCTTCTTGTCTCGGTCAGACCAATGATGTCGTACTTGATCATTCACGCTTGTACCATCAGGTCCTCGATGGATGCATTTGATGCTAGCGTACGTGCATTGAAAGTACAGACGATCATTTTTGTCTTCCTTCGTTGTGGCAGCCTAGTTCGGCCTTGAGATTTTGTCAGCCTCTCCTTTCTCATCCTTCTCAGTGCTGCCATGTCGGTGAAGCCTTCAGGGTCAGGTGAATGAGACCAGTTGTTGTTACTGCAAAGCAGTGCAGAGATGCGATCAAGGAAGATCTCAAAGAGAGAAGAGCAGAAGTACTGGTAGATGTGGCAGAAGCCGGGAAAAGTATTCGTAATGCCCGCCTGTCCTTCGCCAACTACAAGACCAAGATGACTGCCCTCCGACGTCCTGATGGATCCATCACATCCTCCAGAACGGCAATGGAGAAGGTTATCCATGACTTCTACTCAAATCTCTTCGATAGCCATGTCCACTTGCCGACATATCAAATTCCACAGGATGGATATGTCGTTCCCAACGTTCTCCCTTCTGAAATCCGACACGCCATTTCGTCGGTAAAGAAACAAACAGCACCCGGCCCAGACAAGGTCAGACCTGAACACCTGAAGAACCTGCCATCAGTACTCATCAATACACTGGCTCGGCTCTTCACTCGCTACCTGTCTGAATGCAAGGTTCCGTCCCAATGGAAAACCAGCAGGACCGTACTACTGTTCAAGAAGGGAGACATCCATGACATTGGCAACTATCGCCCGATCTGCCTATTGTCTGTCATCTACAAGTTGTTCACTCGAGTCATCCTAAATAGGATTGGCAGAACACTAGATGAAGGACAACCATGCGAGCAAGCCGGGTTCCGCAAAGGATTCAGCACCATCGACCATATCCACACAATAACCAAACTCATTGAGGTTTCTCGGGAGTTCAAGATGCCGCTCTGTTTAACGTTCATTGATTTAAAGAAGGCCTTTGATTCTGTTGAGATGGAAGCGGTCATTGAAGCCCTAGCCAATCAGGGCATTCAAGCCCAATACATCAAGATCCTCCGTGAGCTGTATTGTGGATTCACTACCAGGATCTCACCATTCTACAAAGAAGTAATCATTGATGTCAAGAGAAGGGTTCGGCAGGGTGATACCATTTCACCGAAACTCTTCAGTGCCACCCTCAAGAACATCATGCGACGACTGGAATGGGAAGGAATGGGAGTGAAGATAGATGGTCGGCAACTACACCACCTCCGCTTTGCTGATGACATTGT